TCCCCATGGTGTTTATGTATAGCTTCGGCTCGGTATCGTTTGGGGTTGGGCTAAAGGGAAAGGAAGGCCACGCTTTTGGACCCTCAAAGAATAACCAAATCAATATTTACTATCTCTATATCTTTCTTTATGCCTACGATTCATCACCAGATGAAGTTTTGCCAAAAACAAGTACCATGGTGTTCATTTGTATTTTGGGCTCGGTACCGTTTGGGGTTGGGCTAAAGGGAAAGGAAGGCCACGCTTTTGGACCCTCAAAACAATATTTACTATCTCTATATCTTTCATTATGCCTACGATTCATCACCTGATGAAGTTTTGCCAAAAACAAGTATTCTAACTGTGCGCCCCCATGGTGTTCATGCATATTTTGGGCTCGGTGCCGTTTGTGGTTGGGTTAAAGGGAAAGGAAGGCCACCCCTTGTTGGAATATACTGGGGTACCCTCACAAAATAAGCAATCCAATATTTACTATCTCTATATTTAGTAATTTATGCATACGATGAATCACCTGATGAAGGTTTGCAAAAGCAAATATTCTATGTGCCCCCCCCCCCCCCAAAAGGTGTTCATGAATATTTTGGGCTCGGTACCGTTTGAGTCTCTGGAGAATTTGCTGTATATGAAATATTCTATCTGTTTGTGGGAGAGGGGCATGGCCCGTCGGGCTGAGCATTTGAGCTCCGAAAAAAGGAGAAGCCATGCATTCCTCTGGTAAATGCGTGTGTCTTTCTTAGGGGGACCCCTCAAAACGGTTGGTTTCCGTTTGGTTTTGCATATACCCTTGAAAGAGAGACGGACCCAAATGGAAAATCATGGGACCCGCAGCCACATGGTTTGCTGAAAGCCGTACATAGAAACATCTAGCAACAGGCTAGCAGCTAGGACATTTATCGCAGAGTAGTTGTTCATAGCAGAAACCCTTATTTTGAAATATTCTATCTGTCTGTGGGAGAGGGGCATGGCCCGTCGGGCTGAGCATTTGAGCTCCAAAAAATGGAGAAGCCATGCATCATGCATTCCTTTAACAAATGCGTGTGTCTTTCTTTGAGGGGACCCCTCAAAACGGTTGGTTTCCGTTTGGTTTTGCATATACCCTTGAAAGAGAGACGGACCCAAATGGAAAATCATGGGACCCACATGGTTTGCTGAAAGCCGTATATATATATATATATATATAAACATCCAGCAACGGGCTAGCAGCTAGGACATTTATCGCAGAGTAGTTGTTCATAGCAGAAACCCCTATTTTGAAATATTCTATCTGTTGTTTTCTTATTTTGAAATATTCTATCTGTTGTCTTCTTTTTGGTTGAAATATTCTATCTTCATTTTTTGCTTATTCTAACTGACTTTTTTCCTATTTATTCTAACTCATTTTTTTGATAGACGTTTGAAATGTGCATTTTCATTTACTCTAAAAAATATATTCTAACTGCTAGCCCGATACTATATGCACTTCGTATCATACCCCCAGAACTCACCGATCTTTTTGCCATTGAGCACGACGCTGCAGTGCAGAGATGTTTCAGTGCGATGCTGTTTGGAGAGGACGGGGGGGCGCTCCCGGACACGGCCAGTCGGCAGTCCCAACTTGCCTTCCGCCATGGTGGGCTAGGGCTGCGTTCAGCCCGGTTGCATGCACCCGCGGCGTTTTGGGCCTCGTGGGCTGACAGCTTGTCGGCGATCCAGCGCAGAGATCCCGACCTCGCGCAACATATTGTACGCCAACTTGAGCCGGATGTGCCTTGTTGCCGTGTCCTGGACACGCTCAAGGCAACCGTGACCCTGCTCGCTCGGCAGGGGTTTGAGGCCCCTCAGTGGCACCAACTCCTTGGCGACGATGCGCCGCAACCACATGATGTTGAGGACGATGCCCCTGGCATCGGGCGGGGGTGGCAGAAAGCAGCGTCGGCAGCTCTTGACTTGCAAAGTGCGGCTGCCCACAGCGACAACTTGGATGCAGCCTCTGCAGCCATGCTGCTGTCCCAGTCCGGACCGTGCTCAGCCCAGGTCTTCTTGATGCTCCCCGTTTGCCCGGAGTTGATTTTGGAGCCCGCGCATTTCCGTGTGTTGCTGTTGCGACGCCTGCGCTTGCCCTTGCCTTTCGTCCCTGCGCGATGCCGGTGTGGAAGGGAGCAGGACGCTCTTGGCGATCACCGCTCTGCATGTCCGCGATCTGGTGTCTTGCGAGCACGGGGCGGCCCACTTGAACGGGCGGCAGCGCGCATTTGTCGTGAAGCAGGGGCCGTGGTTGCTATGCACACATTGGTCAGGGACCTCAATGTCGGCAGCGTGCCCGGAGATGACCGGCGGATTGAAGTCATAGCCAATGGCTTACCCCTGTGGGGTGGCATGCAACTTGCTGTGGATACCACGCTGGTGTCGGCCTTGTCCTCTACAGGTGCCCCGCGGCGCTACCAGAACAGAGCCGAGGGCGCAGCCCTGCGCCAAGCCCGACGGGCCAAGGAGCGCACATACCCGGAGCTCCTTCGCCCTGACTCACGCTGCAGGCTGGTGGTCCTTGCGCTTGAGGTTGGCGGGCGCTTCAGCCCGGAAACCGTGGACTTCGTGCAGCGGCTGGCGCGGGCGCGTGCGAGAAGTGTGCCGCCTCGTGTGCGCGGCGCCGTGTCGGCTGCCTTTGCCCGGCGCTGGTCCTCCTTCTTGGCCGCGGGCGCGAGCCGGGCGTACGCTGCCAGCCTCTTGGCCTTGCCCGCCCACTCGGCCGCAGGTGTCGATGGGCCGCCGCCCTTGGTCAGTGACGTGCTTGCTGACGGCGGGGAGCCGTTTGCCGCGCGCAGCCGCGTCCGGTGAAGGGTGCCCGCCTGCACGTGAGGAGCTGGCCTCCGTAAAAACAGCGGCAAAGACCTCCCGTGCCCGGAGGCGCCCCTTAAAATCCCCCCTGAAACACGTTGAAGCCACTGCGGAAAAAGGCGAGCGCGCGGAGAAAAAAAAACCAGTGCCTCCCCAATTGTACGCATGTTTTATTCGGAGCCATCCGAATATGTGTGGCACGACGTGTACGGGACTGCACACATCATACGGCAAGCGGAAAGGGGGGAGCAGGGTGATCCCTTGATGCCCGCTCTCTACTCCCTCGGCCAGCACGGTGCCTTGGCCTTCCTGGACGATGTGATCACCATTGCCCGGCCGGACCGAGTGGGCCTTGCTCACCAGAACCTTGCAGATGAGCTCTGGGCGCACTGCCGAGTGCGTCTCAACAGTGGCAAGACACGCGTTTGGAACTTGTCCGGACGCGTGCCACCCGCCCTCGGCCAGCCAGGTGCGCCGGAGGCCTCCTGTTGGGTTGGTGCCGGCGGCCGGCCAGTTGAACAACAAGGGCTCACAGTGCTCGGTGTCCCTGTCGGATCGGCGACCGGTTGCTGGAGCGTTTGCCGGCACTAGGTGATTTGCAGGCTTCTTGGTTGCTCCTTCTCTTTTGCTGCAGTCCGCGTTGCAACTATTTGCTTCGCAAGACCATGATTCAGCCGTGTTGTCTGCCCTTTCTACCTTGCTTGGCACAGGCGACCTGCCGCGACATGCCCGTGACGTTGCCTGGCCAGACGAGGGCGACACCAAGGTGGTGTCAACAGCAAGCTGCCTGCCATTCCAAAGCGGCAGGCCGTTGGCGACGACTTCAAGCCGCGTGTCGTCGACAACGCTCTGTGAGCCCGCGGCGCCCGCAGGCGCTCGATGGGCGCTGGTTTTCCAACAAACGCAGCGCCCTCATGTACAATTGGCTACACCACGCACAAAGAGCAAAGAGGATGTACAGAGAAAAAGAAGGAAAAAACAAGAGGAGAGAAAGAAGGAGAAAGAGAAAAAGAAAGAGGAAGAGAAAGAGAAACGGAAAGAAAAAGAGAAACAGAAAGAGAAAAAAAGGAGGAGAAAGAGAAAGAGAATGGGAATGGGAGAGGGAAAGGACAAGGAGAAAACAAAAAGAACAAAGGGAGAGCAGCAGTCGCGAGATTGGCGCATCTTGTCCTCGTGCTTTGGACGCATGAGGGCTACAGGCTGCAATTATTTGATACTGCACTGTGTTCGAGAGCGCGAAGCCGCGTTGTTTTCCAGGAGGGCTTCGCTGGATTTCATGGCTGCTGCTGGGGTGTCGCGGATGTCAGAACGGGAGGACTGCGCAGCCGCCTGCCTTGAACTTGCCAACGTTTGGAAGTCTCGTAGGCGCAGGGCGCTGCAAACATCGTCCGGGCGTTTGGTCAGCTGCAGCTGCGGCGTGGGGTGCTCAGCATATTTCAGCACCTTGTGAGGGGTCGGCTCCAACCACTGTGGCCGCAGGTGTTCCTTTCCTGGAGGCTACAGCAGCCAGAGGACGGTTTAGGCAACTGGCGGACATTGTGGAATCGGCATTTGCCTAGGAACAGTGTGCTCTGCAGCAATGAGGCCGCAGGCTGCATCCTTAAAGGGGCGAATACGCAGCGTTAATCACTGGCCTGAGGATACTGCAGGGAAAAATCTTTGCTTGGAGTGCGGGGCGCCTGCCAGGCTTTGGCAAACTTTGCCGCGGCCCTGCTGCAGCTCGTGTGTTTTGCATCCCTAGTTTTGGGCAGCTGAGAATTGCCGTCATGAGAGCTGTTTGTTGCATACCCCCCTCCAGTGTAGCTAAGTGTATACAAAAGCACACCTACAAGGGTTGTTGAAATGGTGTTGACATTGCAAGGGTGATTATATTTATTTATTGATATTTTTATATTTATTTATGTGTTTCCTTTTTGTGTGTGCAAGGATGGAACCTTGCCAGGCTTGCTTGTGTGTCCCAGCAGGCTCAAGCAATGATTGGACTTTGATGCAAGAGGCTGCGTGCTGGCGAGCTGTGCTGGCAGCATGGCGCAGGCAGTCTCAATGGCAAGAGGCCTTGCAAGGGTTGCGCCGCATGTGGGCAGTACCTCATTGCACCGGCGCATTTCTAATTCCCAGTTTGATTTTGCCGTTTGGGCATTTGGCAAGTATCTTCCTTGATTCCCTTTACTATTGTTTGCCATTTGATGTGTGATGTGTTTTCACTGTCCATTGCAAGCACCAAGGTAGGGCTGCAGCCTGGTGTGGTCTCGTGCAGCGAGGTTCTTCGAAGCCTGGCCAGGCGCAAACAATGGCAGCAGACCTTGAAGCTGTTGCAAGAGATGAGGTCGAGGCGGGTCCATGTGATCAATTGAGTGAGAATCAGATGCCAGCTCCACATTTGACACTTTTGGCTGCGGATTGGGAGAAAAACACAACCTTGGAATGCCATTACAAACGACCGTAGCCATTTTGGCTCAAGATGGCCGAGTAGATGAAGAGCCAGTAGCTCGTGACGCTACAAGATCTGCTCTAGCGGGTGCTGTGGGGCAGCTGTGGTCAGTATGTGATCACTCTCCGGAATTAGCGAAATGTGCGAAACGGATATTCGGAATCGAACTCATCTCGGAAGCGGCTGAGAGCTTGAGAAGCACTCCAGTTTCGGAACCCAGCTTGGAGGCTAGGAGAGAAGCTATGGATTTCGTGACTTTTTTCGCTCCAATGAAGCGACTTGCAAAAGAGAGCCCTTCACAATCAATCGGCGCCCGGCATTCTGGGCGGAAATTGGCACTGGAGAAAATTTCGTCAAAAACTGATGAGATGAATCAAAGAGAGAGTTTCGTAGACAAAATGAGTCTACCTTCAGCGGGAGATGAAGTGTGGCTGGACGAAAGCGCTTTGCTGCGGCTACAACTTTGGACACTGGCGGAAGCGAAAGGGCAGATTCGGAAGTCGAAGGCTTTTAAGACGCTACCTGCGGCGCTTCTGACTACAGCGTCTTGGTCAGCATCGGCTGAGGAGGCAGCCTTGATGGGAAGCTTGGCGGTACACGGCACTCAAGAGCGCTTCAGCATCTAGGAAGGCTAAGCAGTTCAGCGAAGCTGCAGGAAAACGCTTGATCAACTTTGCGTCTGCTTTACTGAATGAACCTTTGAAGGCTGCATCACAAATGGACGTGAGATTGCGGATCAACCGCCTGGCCAAGGCGCTGAAGACGTGCTGGCTGGCTTCGATAGGACCCCGAAATGGGCACCCCGAGAATTTAAAAAAGTCTGGTGGCCAGTTGGTTTAAAACGGCACCCAACTGTGTGTGTGTGTGTGAGGCATTTGCAGTGCCACTACTGTGGTAAGTGATGGGTAACCTCGGGTAATGAGTGGAGACCCATGGGTTGCAATCAACGTGTTCCAGCTTGCGCTAAAAGACAATCATGTGTCCCATGTCCAGTGAGGGTCTCCGCGCCTGCCTTGGCCCCCGCCCAGCAGGGTCTCCGCGTGCTCGGCGTGCCCGTTGGCTCCCCCCAGTTTGTCGCAGCTCAGCTCGACGCACTCGCTGCGAGCCAGCGCACGCTCCTCGCTCGTGTTCCCACCTTGGAGGACGTGCAGGCTTCTTGGCTGCTTTTGCTGTTCTGCTGCACTCCTCGGTGCAACCATGTCCTGCGTTTGCTCCCGCCTGAGTCCACGGCAGAGTTCGCGGCTGCTCATGACATCGCTGTTGCGGACTGCTTGTGCACCCTGCTTCAGGCAGGCCCGTTGCCCCCGCAGGCGTTGGGCGTTTCAAGGTTGCCTCTTCGGTTTGGTGGTCTCGGTCTACGTTCTGCGGCAGCCGTCGCCTCTGTTGCATATTGGGCGTCTTGGGCCGATAGCTTGCCTCTTCTGGAAAGGCAAACGCCTTCGCTTCTTCGGGCAGTCCTGCCCCACCTGAGCCTGCCCGAGGCCCATGCCCCCTCCTTGCGAGCTGCAGCCGCGGCGGCCCTCGTGCTGGCGGACCCCAGCTGGGAGCCCCCTACTTGGCAGGATGTGTTGGCTGGCGCTTTGCCGGCCGCGCGCTCCGATGATGCTGACAGCTTGTTTCTCAGCGGTGACGCAGCCCGTGGGTGGCAGCGGCATGCCACTGCGGCCCTCGAAGACCGTCTTTTCCAGGACCTGTCCCTCCACCTTGACCCCTCTGCGCTGGCGCTGTTGGAGTCGCAGCAGGGACCCTTCGCTGGCCGTGTTCTGACCGCTCTCCCCACCAGCCCTGAGCTCACCGCCCCCTTGCACCTTTTCCGGATCGTCCTTCTTCGGCGCCTCCGGCTCCCACTCCCCGTCACCGAAAACACCTGCCGGTGCCATCGCCGTTTGGACTCCCTTGGCGACCCCCGTGCAGCGTGTTCTCGGGCGGGTGTGTTGCGGAGTCGCGGGTGCGCTCTCGAACGGGCGGCCGCCGGGGGGCGTTGGAAAAAGGCGTGCTGAAAAAAATCAACGACATTAGGGACCCTTTGTCAAGTGCCATGAAAGTGGAACGGAGTTTATTTTACATGCGGCTTGAATGGTTGCGCCGTTGTGGAGGAATAATAGTGGTAGGAAAGCTGCAACTTGCAAAGTCCTGTGCCATTTTAGTGGCCGAGCTGCGGACACCCATAGCCCTAGGCAGGTCCGGGTCGACACAGTCTGCTACAACATCTGCATCCACGCCTGCCAAGGCCAATGGGCGCAAGCGCTGGGCCTTTTTGCAGAGCTCGAGGGCCTGCTGGAGCCAAGCGAGGTCAGCTACGGCGCCGTGTTTGTGGCGTTGGGCAAGGGGCACCGCTGGCTGCAGGTGTTGGCCATGTTGACATCTGCCGTGCAAGGCGCCAAGGCACGAGTGGTGTACAACACAGCCCTGGGCGCCTTCAGGGATGCGCATAGGTGGGACTTGGCAATCCGCATGTGCGAGGATCCGGTCGTGAGGGAGCACCTGGATGAGGTAGGTTGGGCTACTGTTATCGCAGCGTGTGCGAAAGCTGGCAAGTGGTCCTTGGGGCTAATGCTCACAGACCAATTGCGGACTCATCATAAAGTGACTCTCCAGACCTACAATTGGTTGCTTCGGGGCATGCGTTTTGACTCTGGGAGTTGGAGGGCGGCCTTGTCCATCGTGCACGATGCCATGCAAAAACGCCTGTCGCCAAATGCCGTGACGTACACCAATCTCTTGCACTCCTGGCGACAGAGAGGACCTTGGGAGAAGACTTTGGAGCTTTTCGCCGAGCTGAGGCAGCTGGACGGCGCCAAGGCCGAGGCGGTCAGCTCGGTTTTGGCCGCGCTGGAGCGGGGCCACCGTTTGGAGGCCACTGGGGTGGCTTTGGACATCAAGTGCTTCTTGCGGCGGCAGCTGAAATTGGGGAAGGCCGGGTTCAACAATGAAGCGTTCCACGAGGCAGCCACGTTGCATTCCGCCTGGATGGGCGCTGGCTTGCCGGACGCTTTCGGCAGTGCGATGCATCGCGTTCTGGTGGCTCCGGTTTGGGGAGCGATTTCAGGGAAAGCTGGTACACCCTCGGCGAGTCAGGTAGTGCAAAATGTGCACTACTTCTCTGCCTTCGACGCACGAATTGTTGGTGAGAGTGCGTCATGGTCGGGCACCTTCGGACAAATTGAGGGCGGCGGCGTGGGTGCGCGGTGTTGAATCGTGGCAGCTTCAACACAGCTTGGGGCAGGGGGCTATCTCGCTTGCCATCACTCACTTAGGATGCTGCTTGGGTGTTTGTGGCAAGCCATCCGTAGCACCCAGCGCTGAGGCCTGGGCTTTTGCAAACCTGCAAGCGAAGCGCTAGCCCGCGATGAAGGTCATAAAGGCACTTGTTGTGGGCTTTTGGGTTTTGCCGTTTGCTCTCTTGCTCTTGCACATGCCCTGTCCAGTCGGTGGTGGAGAGGGAGGCAGCAAGGGAGGGGCCCGCATTGTAGCCACTTTGAAGGCAGAGGTGAGCTGCAGAGTTGAAGAGCTTCAACTGCAGGAGCTTGCTGGGGCCCTGAATCGTTCTGAATCACTGAAACCGAGTTCCCCAAAATCGCCTGAAGCTCTTGAAGCTCTCGCCTCAGCCTCAGGCAGCCACCATGCGGAGCTTCGGCGAACTGCAGCCGCCGGAGCGGCCTTTGTCTGAAGCCGCAGCCTATGCTTCGCCAGCGCCTTGGTCTTTCGGCCCTTCGCGGAGGTAGCTTGCACCTGGACATAAGTGGACATCATTTGCATGGGGATTCCGCCAATCATTTGTCAGGGTGTGCTCAGTAAGGTTCACAGCCATTTGTTGTTGGACAAGCCTAGAAGACGGGTTGCTTTGGGGCCGATGCAACAATTGCACCTCGCACGCAAACATTTGAGGGCATTCTGTTGCGTGGTGTGGCACTCCGCTCCGTTCCAACTGCAGCCGCAAGTTGCCCGAGCCCGGCAGAGATGCCGCAGCCGGCGGTCAAGAAGGGCGCCCGGCTCAGAGTGAGTCGTGCTTTGCTCGTTCCCAAGTGAGGGGCGTAAAAACCTCTGCACCATATAGCAGGTGATCCTACTTCGGGCGCATAGTGTGTTGCAGGGCTCATGTTTTAATATATCTTTGTAGTTCTTTGCGGTTCTTGGGCGCTGCTCAAGTGACGTCATGGCCGAACATCAAAAAATGAACGTAAGGGGGGGTGCAAGTTGCGTAGACTAGATCTTCGTGTGAGAAGATGGCAAGCCAGGCCAAGCGGCCAAGAATGTGGGGCCTCTCGCTGGCAAGAATGCGAAGTAGGTGAAGCAGAAATCTTTCTACACATGATGGAGGGCTCACCCTCAGGACGCAAGCCTTCCCATGAAGTTTCTGTTTCAACATGATTTGCACTGTGGCACCACTGGCTTTGTAGCGCTTGTGCCATGCTTGTCTTGTTTGTTTGTTTGTTTGTTTGTTTGTTTGTTTGTTTAGTTGTTTTCTTGCTTGCATGTCTGTGTGTGTGTGCGCGCGCTGTGGTGGTAAGGCAGGTGCGCGTCGGGGATTGAATTGAACGCGCAAGGTGGGTCCATGAGGCGCTCAAGGCAGACAGGGCCGCAACTTTGAAGCATATGGAGGACCAGCACCAATCACTGCGCCTTGGTGGGATTGGGATGTGCTATGAACATGCCCTGACAGTGCGACCCTTTTGATTCTTTACAATGGTTTGGGCTCCCGTTTAGTGCCAGGTTTGATTGTGACTCAATTTGTCGAGTGTTTCAGTCACTGCGGTGCAGACCTGGCTATTGCACATGGGCTGGTGCAAGCTGCCTAAGGCTAAAGCGGCTACATGAGTGGTGCGAGCTTCAGGCCGGAGGGGGGGGGAAGCCAGTGGCTACAGCCTATCAGGGCCTAGATGTTGTTCGAGTGCTGGGGGAACAGAGAATATGCCCTTTGTCTAGGCTGGTGCGTACAGAGGCAGATTGGCCCAGCATGAAAATAGTTTCAGATGTGTGTGGGCGAAATCGTGTCACGCATCAAGAGCCGCACAGGCTAAGAGCCAGAAGGAAGAGCTGCAAAGTGATCCTTGGTGGCAGGATGCTATTCGAGGTGTCGGTCGGAAAGGATTTTTTAGTCAATGTTTTGCTTGGGGGGTGATCGCATCGCAACCGTGTCAGACTTATCGGGCCTCGGCTTGAGGCAAGGTTTGGCTGCGTACGCTGAGGCAATGCTGGCAGTCTCGCAGGCGCGCAGAAAGCCTGCAATGTCCCAACGAAAGGTTTAGAAGTAGACTTGCTCTTGACGGGTTTAAGGCCTCCCCTTGTGCCAGGGCTAGACAAAAGAGATAATCGTTGTGCATTTGATTTCTAAGTTCATGTCTGGGACAGTCAGGGACCTGTTGGTAGCACTCTGCCTCAGGCAAACAATGGGCACAACGTCTCCTGGTTGCGCTTAGTTCAAGTTGCTTGAACTGCAGCCGATGCATCTATCCTTACCAATCTTACCAAGCCTTTTTGGCCCCCCGAAGAGGAGATGGTTCCAGCTTCGACTTTACATGCAAGCAGTTTCGACAGATGATGCCTGCTGACAGATTGTTGGGAGCGAGTGCGTGCCACAGCCAAGGCGCCAGAATCAAGCGCGGAGGAAGCGGCCAGGCTGCGCGTTGTGGCAATGGAGCTTCGGAGGGAGAAAGCGCCTTGGACAGCACAACCACTTGAAACCTCTGAAATGGTGGCATGCCAGTGCACGAGCTGCGTTTCATTGTTGCTTTTGCTTATTCTTGCAGCCTGGGCAGTTGTGTCACCTCCGGAACGGTTGCGGAACCTAAAGAAAACCACCCCGCTGTATTCGCACGGTTTTATCCGATCGCAGGAGGAGCTGGAGGCTTGGAAGAGGTCGACGTTGGTGGACATCAGCGGTGGGGGAGGGGCTGCTCAGCTGCAGATTGCTTCGGGAGGGGAAGACGGGCAGCCGCTTCAAGAAAGTAGAGTCATGTTGAGATCAAGACGCGCCTGAGCCGGAAGCAGGAAGCCACAGCGTTCTGATTCAGAGAGGGAGTCCCACAAAGGCGCAGGTTTCGGTGGCCCTGAAACCGGCTGAGGTTGCCAGCGCGGTGGAGGCAGCAATGGCCCTGGAGACCTGCAGCGTCGCGAAGATGCGATGGAAGATCGCCACCCACCGCATCATCAATCTGATCATGAAGGGCGAGCACAAGAAGCAATCCCTCGCAGACAGGATCAAGAAAAGCATGAATCAGTCCATGCTGGCAAAGACTGCTGACAACGCGGAGGGCCCACCAGTTGCTTGGCTGAACATTGCGGTTTAGAATCGTTCTGATCGCAAGCAACCCCCTTATAAGGCGGCTACATGTCAATTTTCCGCCCGAAGGTGCTCACGAGATCACGCTCGAACATTGTGGAGCCGCCGCGGTCGTTGAAGCAGAACATCCTGCAAGGGGTTCCCTGCTTGCAAAGGTTGGTCTCCGGCTACCCTTTCGAGCTGTTCTTTGTCTTCCTCATAATCCTGAACTGTGGCACCATGATCGCCCAGATTGAGCTCACGGGCCAGCGTTTGGCGTATGACACTCTGCGGCTTTGGCATCTAGCTTTTCAAAAAAACGAGTTTTTTTTTTAGTGGGGAAATAGGCGAAACCCAGTGCAGGAAGTTTAACTTGTAGTTTAGAGGGAACAAATGTCCAACCAACCAGCAGAGGACATTGGTGTCATCAGCACCCCGATAGATACCCTGGATGACTTCTTTTGGACCGCAGAGTTCGTGTTCGGCATCTGCTTCGCCGTGGAGATCTCCTTCAAATTCGCGGCCTTCGGCATTGTGGGCTTCTGGAAGTACGCGTGGAATTGGATGGATCTGTTTGTGGCAACCTGGCCTGAGGTCCTGTTCGGGTTTGGATGGTTGGCTAGAGCCTGGCATTGTGGATGGCCTGTGAGCTCGGGGTTTGGAAGGTGAAAGCGTGCCCAGGATTTTCGGAGTGAGCCCCAATGTGCAGTTCACATGTATGATTGAAAGGCCCAGGGATCGTCATGCACTCAAGAAGGATATTTTCAGGATTTCCATCGTTTGCTGTCAGTGCCCAGGGCCTGACTTTGTTTCGCTTGAAGCCGAAGTCTCAAGTCTTTGCCCAGTTCGTTCGGGCGGGTTTTAGTGCCGGTTCTGAGAGAGTTTGTGAGCAAGCGACGTGGCATGGCACCTCCCCTTGGAGTCTGCGATTTGTTCTTGTCCCATCAGCAAGGTCTGTACTTGGGCGGTGGATGTCCTGGGAGCAGCGGTTGAGATCAACCCTATGATGTCTGGACCTCGGCACGCTATGCATATGCATTGTACACGTCGGCTGCTTGCTACTTTGCTCACCCGAAGCGAGATGAGGTTGCAGCAGGGGTGGTAGAGCAAAATCAAGCAAAGTCAAGACCAGCGGCGAGGGTCCATCCCCCAAAAAAGGCTCGAGACACTCTAGATACTCAAGTTTCCAAGGGAAACAAACGCCGAAGCGCTTCCGCCTGGCCGACCGCTGCGCTTCGTGCGAAAGAAGAGGTGGAAGCGCCATAGTGCAGACAGAGTCCGAGAGCCGAGGGAAATTGTTTCGCCTTGAGTCCCCCAAGCCGGCAATGGAACCGAGGTTCCGCGTGCTCCGGTCGCTTGGTCGCAAGATGCTGAGGAGGTGCTTACCACTTGGTTTGATATGAACCATTTTTTTAAAACAGCTATCCTTAATCATGGGAAGCAGGTTTTATCTCTCTCTCTCTCTCTCTTTCTCGTCTCCCTTGTCTCTTTTGTCTCTCTGTCTCTCTCTCCCGTCCCTCCCGTCCCTCCCTTCCTCCCTTCCTCCCTTGATTCCTCCCTTCCTCCCCTCCCCTCCCCTCCCCTCCCCTCCCCTCCCCTCCCTCCTTCCCCCCCCTCCCTCCGTGCTTCATGACGCACACTCATTTTCCCAGCCCTACTGCTAATTTTGCCTCGCAAGGATTGCCAAGCTGGGCCGCATAGCTCCCTGTCTGCATGTGCAAAGCCATGCCGCTGGACTTTGTGCGCCGTGAGGTGCGGGTGCTGAAAGTCATCCAGCAGTTTGACTCGCTGCACTTGCTCCTGGGCTCCATTCGCGCTTCCTTCGACATCCTCGCCTGGCAACTTGGCCTTGCTTTCTGGTTGTCAAGCAGTGCGGCAGACGTTGCTGGAGGTCAGCTCCACAAAAGCAATTGGGGCAGGTCAGCCCGTTGCGAGGTCTGCCCTGGTCCTCATGATTATGATGATGGTTTGTGCTCTGGCGATGTCACAATTTGTCCAAGCCTGGAGCCTTGGGCTTGCATCCATGGAACTCCACTGTCCCAGCAGAAGGCCAGGCTCAAATCAATGTCGCACGCCAAACACAGGCGCTGGCTTTTGGGCTTGCAAGCCCAGGATTGAAGATGGGGGTGGTGATGATCAACTACGCAAAGATGTGTGGAAGCTGTTTGGTAATGTGGGCCGCTCGCTAGTTTCCATGTTCGAGCTGACCCTGGCAAACTATGCCGGCACTCCGGCAGGAATTCATTGCAGCCTCCTGTCCTTGTGCACGCATCGTTGGGGCAGAAGGCTGTTCACCACATTTTCAACAGCATAGCTACTGAGCTTTCAGGCATCACACGGACCATGATGGAGAATGTCAGCCCCGTTTTCGCTGTGGCAGCCCCAGACTATACTGCCGGCACTCCTTTCTTCACCCCTTCCCCCCC